CAGTGAATACCGTAAGTAAAACAAGAAAAAGTTAAACAGACTGAAAATTTGTTAATCGAAAATATGGGTATAGATTTTAAGATAGACATAGGTTCAGAAGTCAATATAATATCAGAACAAGTTCTCAATAACATAAAAATAGAAAACCTTTTATAAGACAAATATTATTCTCGAAACCTATGGAGGATTTAGGATTCATCCTATTGGTATTGGATTTAGATTGCAGCTTTAACGAAAAAAAAAATCAATTCTGACTTTGTTTTAGTAGAGGATCAGTATACACCAATTTTAGCTTTAGATTCTTGTTGTGACATAGGGTTTATTAACAAACAAAATTGCAACAGTCTTGATATTATACATAATAAAGAAGCATTTATTCGGCAAAATGGAGATGTTTTTACAGGATTAGAAAAATTTGAAAAAATGTTCCTTGAAACTTAAAAAAGATGCTTTACCAGTTTTTAAGCCACCCAGAAGAGTTCTGTTGTCTATGTCTAATATATCTAATATGTCTAATATGTCTAATATGTCTAATATGTCTAATATGTCTAATATGTCTAATATGTCTAATATGTCTAATATGTCTAATATGTCTAATATGTCTAATATGTCTAATATGTCTAATATGTCTAATATGTCTAATATGTCTAATATGTCTAATATGTCTAATATGTCTAATATGTCTAATATGTCTAATATGTCTAATATGTCTAATATGTCTAATATGTCTAATATGTCTAATATGTCTAATATGTCTAATATGTCTAATATGTCTAATATGTCTAATATGTCTAATATGTCTAATATGTCTAATATGTCTAATATGTCTAATATGTCTAATATGTCTAATATGTCTAATATGTCTAATATGTCTAATATGTCTAATATGTCTAATATGTCTAATATGTCTAATATGTCTAATATGTCTAATATGTCTAATATGTCTAATATGTCTAATATGTCTAATATGTCTAATATGTCTAATATGTCTAATATGTCTAATATGTCTAATATGTCTAATATGTCTAATATGTCTAATATGTCTAATATGTCTAATATGTCTAATATGTCTAATATGTCTAATATGTCTAATATGTCTAATATGTCTAATATGTCTAATATGTCTAATATGTCTAATATGTCTAATATGTCTAATATGTCTAATATGTCTAATATGTCTAATATGTCTAATATGTCTAATATGTCTAATATGTCTAATATGTCTAATATGTCTAATATGTCTAATATGTCTAATATGTCTAATATGTCTAATATGTCTAATATGTCTAATATGTCTAATATGTCTAATATGTCTAATATGTCTAATATGTCTAATATGTCTAATATGTCTAATATGTCTAATATGTCTAATATGTCTAATATGTCTAATATGTCTAATATGTCTAATATGTCTAATATGTCTAATATGTCTAATATGTCTAATATGTCTAATATGTCTAATATGTCTAATATGTCTAATATGTCTAATATGTCTAATATGTCTAATATGTCTAATATGTCTAATATGTCTAATATGTCTAATATGTCTAATATGTCTAATATGTCTAATATGTCTAATATGTCTAATATGTCTAATATGTCTAATATGTCTAATATGTCTAATATGTCTAATATGTCTAATATGTCTAATATGTCTAATATGTCTAATATGTCTAATATGTCTAATATGTCTAATATGTCTAATATGTCTAATATGTCTAATATGTCTAATATGTCTAATATGTCTAATATGTCTAATATGTCTAATATGTCTAATATGTCTAATATGTCTAATATGTCTAATATGTCTAATATGTCTAATATGTCTAATATGTCTAATATGTCTAATATGTCTAATATGTCTAATATGTCTAATATGTCTAATATGTCTAATATGTCTAATATGTCTAATATGTCTAATATGTCTAATATGTCTAATATGTCTAATATGTCTAATATGTCTAATATGTCTAATATGTCTAATATGTCTAATATGTCTAATATGTCTAATATGTCTAATATGTCTAATATGTCTAATATGTCTAATATGTCTAATATGTCTAATATGTCTAATATGTCTAATATGTCTAATATGTCTAATATGTCTAATATGTCTAATATGTCTAATATGTCTAATATGTCTAATATGTCTAATATGTCTAATATGTCTAATATGTCTAATATGTCTAATATGTCTAATATGTCTAATATGTCTAATATGTCTAATATGTCTAATATGTCTAATATGTCTAATATGTCTAATATGTCTAATATGTCTAATATGTCTAATATGTCTAATATGTCTAATATGTCTAATATGTCTAATATGTCTAATATGTCTAATATGTCTAATATGTCTAATATGTCTAATATGTCTAATATGTCTAATATGTCTAATATGTCTAATATGTCTAATATGTCTAATATGTCTAATATGTCTAATATGTCTAATATGTCTAATATGTCTAATATGTCTAATATGTCTAATATGTCTAATATGTCTAATATGTCTAATATGTCTAATATGTCTAATATGTCTAATATGTCTAATATGTCTAATATGTCTAATATGTCTAATATGTCTAATATGTCTAATATGTCTAATATGTCTAATATGTCTAATATGTCTAATATGTCTAATATGTCTAATATGTCTAATATGTCTAATATGTCTAATATGTCTAATATGTCTAATATGTCTAATATGTCTAATATGTCTAATATGTCTAATATGTCTAATATGTCTAATATGTCTAATATGTCTAATATGTCTAATATGTCTAATATGTCTAATATGTCTAATATGTCTAATATGTCTAATATGTCTAATATGTCTAATATGTCTAATATGTCTAATATGTCTAATATGTCTAATATGTCTAATATGTCTAATATGTCTAATATGTCTAATATGTCTAATATGTCTAATATGTCTAATATGTCTAATATGTCTAATATGTCTAATATGTCTAATATGTCTAATATGTCTAATATGTCTAATATGTCTAATATGTCTAATATGTCTAATATGTCTAATATGTCTAATATGTCTAATATGTCTAATATGTCTAATATGTCTAATATGTCTAATATGTCTAATATGTCTAATATGTCTAATATGTCTAATATGTCTAATATGTCTAATATGTCTAATATGTCTAATATGTCTAATATGTCTAATATGTCTAATATGTCTAATATGTCTAATATGTCTAATATGTCTAATATGTCTAATATGTCTAATATGTCTAATATGTCTAATATGTCTAATATGTCTAATATGTCTAATATGTCTAATATGTCTAATATGTCTAATATGTCTAATATGTCTAATATGTCTAATATGTCTAATATGTCTAATATGTCTAATATGTCTAATATGTCTAATATGTCTAATATGTCTAATATGTCTAATATGTCTAATATGTCTAATATGTCTAATATGTCTAATATGTCTAATATGTCTAATATGTCTAATATGTCTAATATGTCTAATATGTCTAATATGTCTAATATGTCTAATATGTCTAATATGTCTAATATGTCTAATATGTCTAATATGTCTAATATGTCTAATATGTCTAATATGTCTAATATGTCTAATATGTCTAATATGTCTAATATGTCTAATATGTCTAATATGTCTAATATGTCTAATATGTCTAATATGTCTAATATGTCTAATATGTCTAATATGTCTAATATGTCTAATATGTCTAATATGTCTAATATGTCTAATATGTCTAATATGTCTAATATGTCTAATATGTCTAATATGTCTAATATGTCTAATATGTCTAATATGTCTAATATATCTAATATGTCTAATATGTCTAATATGTCTAATATGTCTAATATGTCTAATATGTCTAATATGTCTAATATGTCTAATATGTCTAATATGTCTAATATGTCTAATATGTCTAATATGTCTAATATGTCTAATATGTCTAATATGTCTAATATGTCTAATATGTCTAATATGTCTAATATGTCTAATATGTCTAATATGTCTAATATGTCTAATATGTCTAATATGTCTAATATGTCTAATATGTCTAATATGTCTAATATGTCTAATATGTCTAATATGTCTAATATGTCTAATATGTCTAATATGTCTAATATGTCTAATATGTCTAATATGTCTAATATGTCTAATATGTCTAATATGTCTAATATGTCTAATATGTCTAATATGTCTAATATGTCTAATATGTCTAATATGTCTAATATGTCTGTCTAATATGTCTGTCTAATATGTCTGTCTAATATTAAATCGAAATTAAAAGATAAGTTAAATGAATTAGTTGAACATGGAGTTATAACTTAGTTATTATTGAAAAAGCTGATCATTTTTAAGGTTGTGTTTAGATCAAGGGCGGATCCAGCCTTTTAGTCAGGGGGGGTCACATCAGATCATCAGAGGCGTTTCAAGGGGAGAGGGCATTTGCCCTCTCCCAAGGATGAAAAAAAAAAACGCAAAAAAACCAAAAATATTTACTCAAAAATCTATTAATATCAATTTAGTTGATATATTACTTGTAACAACTTGTAAGACCAACATTTTAATACTAAATTCAAATTAAATAACGAAATCAATTTTTTTCTTCTGCCTTCTCGCGAAACGATTAATTACTTCTTCTACATCAACAGGAACATTTTTATGAATGTGGAGAAGCGTCATCCTGTTAGACGGTCTTCCGCTATTGATGCTCTCAACCAAGTTTTCAGCCTCCTAAGTGTGGAGAAGTACTTCTCTGCCATCGCTACACTGACTGGTAGTGTAGCAAGAATACACAGAAGCTTTTTTATGTTAGGATACATATCACCATCGCAATGCATTATTAGATCAGAAATAGTCTACGGTATAGCCTGATCCCGTTTCCGTTTTTCTGTCCACAGCCGATATTCGCTGATTATGACCGACACTGGCGTGTTGTCTATTAGTGGTTTATAGGTTACGGCGAGATGTTTAACCGTTTTCCATTTCCTCATTACTACTGTTTAGATTTTGGAATGAACACGCCAAGTTGGAATAAATCAAGTACCGCTGGAGATAACCGCTCTTGCAGATCATTTATTATGGAGTCCAGAAGAGGGATGTAGACGCTTCTGCGAAAATACTCCTCGGCTGATTGAGCTGGTTGATTATTAGCTCTATGTACTTGTCTTGACACTAATCTGGGGCATTTTATTTCAACGTCAAGTTGTTCGGCTAATTCTTCTGCTTCATCAAAAAGTTGTTGAAACACTGTGTTTACTTGTTCCCTTTTTTGTCTCAGAACACTTATTGTGTCGTTTATAGCCTCTGTAGCCCTCTTTAAATCAATCGAGCTCGTTTGTAATACTCTGCTTAAGGATACAGTTGTACCTAAAAAAAATTAGTTACAATAAACTAAAATTTTAGCACGCTTTGATCGCTGTGTACCTACCTAAAACATCACTCAAGCAAATAGATGATATTATAAAGTCCGAACTGCGCAATGTTTGCAACAAGCAATGCGTGTCATTAGTAGTATTGTTGTCTTGCCAAGTAGAAATCTTTTCTAGAGTGCTACAAATTTTTACTAAGCTGTCACCTTGAAACTGTAGATGGCCAGATACCCTGCATTGTAGCTCTCTTTCAAAAATTTGATGCCTCTTTGCGGAAGCATTGGCAAATGCTACAACTTTTCTCATTGTGCTTGAAGTATTACGGCAAGAAGTTACTTTGGATGACATAGCTAACGAGTTATTAAGAACATGATTGCTGCATGAGCAACGTTTGGCATGTACAGCTTTTTTGATAACTCTTTTACAGCCTCCTGTGTCTCTGAAGCCATAACCGAGCAGCTGTCTGTCCCAATACCCACACACCATGTTATATCTAAATTAAATTTTATACAGAGAGTTTCAACTATTTTCGCTAGTGCTACTCCTGTCAGCCGAGGCTCCACATCACCTGTATCATTATCATCGCATTTAAGCATATCATGAACATCAAAGAAAGTCACAAAATATTCCTTATAGTACCATTATGAAGATATCTAAATGAAAGGCTCAGCTGCGAGATATGTGATAGGTCCGTTGTTTCATCGAATAAAATTAGCAGCCTTCACATTCTGTAAAATATTTTCCTGAATAATTTCTTTGCAAACATCAATCAACTCATTTTGCGCAGTTTTACTAATGTATGTTGCCTTTGACTTACAAGTCTCTAAATGATGTTGCAATGCTTTGTCACCAGAGTTTATACGGAATTTCAAGAGTGCTCTAAAATTTCCTTCGTCAGCTACCATGCTGTTATTACCTGCTTCCACATCCAACAAATTGCCATCGTCGCGATGGCCACGTAAAGATATATTTTGATGACCACAAAAATTATCGTTTTTACAATAGGTCGTAATCGTTCCCTATTTTCATTAACGTGTGTCATTCTTTGGCTACTTATTTGGTTAATAATATTAAGTTCAGGTTTGTAAAAAGTTGTTAAAAAGTTTTTTCCACTTTTGACAGCTATTTGGTGGTACTGATTTCGCTGGTGAGTTAGCAACACACCATTTTCACCAAGTAAATCATCAAAAGCTTTTAATTGTTCTTTGACTAGACGTTTTAGAGGTGTTTTCAACCGAATGCCACCTCAGAGTGTTTCTGCAAATAAAACACAATATTTGCAATAAAGGCCCTGATCTTTATGCGATAAAACAAGCCAGTGAAACTTATCAAGGTGTGACTTCTGTGCATATTTCTTTGTTTGTTTTTCCTTTTTTGGTTACAACGCAGTGTGGAAAAATATAATTTGGGGGTAGCAACCAATGCTCCTCAAGCAACATAGCTCTGTTGAATCGTCTAGATTTTTTCCTACAAACCACGTTAAACAAGCACAAAGACTATGAGCGGAATGGCTAAACCACAGAGCTGAACTGACCTCTAACCTGCCGGATTGGTTCACCTCGACATAGAGCGGGGGTGGGATGGCGTTACTGTGAACTGTGACGTCATCGAAAGCTTGGCCGTGAACTAATAGATATGGGAGATTAGATGGAGATGGCATGACCGGACGGGCTGACGGACAATACGACGCCGTAAAACTACAGCGTTTTTAATTGGTAAAAAGTAGATACTTAAAAATATGATCAGATGTAAGCCTCCCAGGGGGGGGGGTCATGACCCCCCATGACCCCCCCCCTGGTTCCGCCCTTGGTTTAGATCCAAAAGAACTTAATAAGGCCTTAGAAAAGGAATGTTGTGAGATACCTACGTTAGAAGAGATTATGGTTAGGCTTAAAAATAAAACAATTTTCTCAGAAATTGATTTTAAGGAGGACTTTTATCAGGTTTCTTTAGATGAAGATTCAAGTAATTTGTGTGCTTTTGGGTGTCCATTTGGTGTTTATAAGTTTTTGAGGTTACCATTTGGATTAAATGTTGCACCTGAGTTCTTTCAAAAGATAAGTATTGAAAATTTTGGTAATACACCAGGTGTTACAATATACTTTGATGATTTATTTATTGCTGCAAAAGATTCAAAAGAACATGATATAATTTTGTCTTAAGTCTTAGAAAGAGCTCGTTTGTTAAATGTTAATTTTAATTTAAAACTAATTCTGATGCCTTGGTAGGATTCCCCACTCGACCATTCACTGTTGGGTTCTAATTAACAGTGCTGTTCCTAAAATGGCGCTGGGAAACAGTAACAAAGCCTACACAGAACACCAGGCTACTAACCTTAGCAGTTGATGCCGATGACACCAATAAAAAAAAATAGTAAAAAACTGCAATATAAAGAGCAGGAAGTTGAATATTTAGGCAATATTTTTGACAAGTCAGGTATGAAACTTGATAGAAATAAATATTTTGTACAAATATCTTAGTATCACAACTTTTTTTGGACTAGGAGTCTGCTTCCTTGTTCTCGTTAACTTCAGGATACCCAATATCGTGTCGCGTCATCGCCTTTCTCATAGGAATTAAAAGCGTCCTACTGAAATCCTGACTTTATTCAGGAAATTAGAGAAGTAGAAGGAATTACGTTCTGTTGAGTTTTTGTAATGGAATACTGGATTCGCATTGGAATTAGTTATGAGATGTATGGGCATTTTATTTTGTTGTACTGAAATGCAAGATTATTCGATAGCCAATTACATTTTTAAAATTTGGTGGTCAGAAATTGAGATTTAATGGGTAAAAGTACACATTTGTTTTATTTATGTAAAATAAAGTAAAATATATACAGTACGATGCAAATGAAAGGAATTAATTAATTATATCGTGAATCGGCAATTAGGGAAGAAAATCCTGAAAGTTGAATTTTTTATTCAAATGCAGATTACGTGAGTTATTTTATACGTGAAGTCATCTATGTGAGTGTGATGACGTTACCGAATATTTTTTTAAAAGAAATGTGGTTCATGCGATGCCTCTTCTGAAAGGTCTTTTAATTGTCTGTCCAACGATGACAACTACTTTCAAAAAATATTGTGTTTTGTGTACTGTCAAAAATTTTTATTCCATTATTTATTGTTATTTATAAAATTTCAGAGCATGTACATTATACATTTTTAATATATTAGTTTTAAATGCGAAAGTTAGGAGAAAACTGAAAAGTACACAAAAATGCCTAAACTAATTAAAGTTTTTATTCGTAACGCTAACGTTTAAAATCAATAATTAGACCAACGAGGGAACTCAATTAAAACGGCGCCACACCAGTTCGTCAAAAAAATTCAAAAACAAACATTAACTAAAAATTATTTTACAATAACTGTTAAATACAAAACAAACTCTTATTTTTTTAGATAAAAAAAGAACCTACAATTATTTTTACATATACAGTGTGTCCGTAAAGTATGGAACAAATTCATTTTTAGCTAAACAGATCATTTTAAGAAATAATCCTGAAACACGTCGAATTTGATTTTAATTTACCGTATTTTAAAATAATAATCTAATATACAGGGTGAATTACTTTCGAGTAATGACGTCACCGTCATTTTTTTTTAATGGAACACCCCCATTTTGTCTCAATTTTCGGATTACTCTAGCTGAGCTGATTCCAAAAATGTATCACATGTTGATTCTAATTGGTACAGGGTGGGCAAAAATACAATAGTTTTGTGTATGCTCATAAAGTAACGCGTAACATTCTTTATTAGTTAAATTAACAATATTATGAAAAATACTTATTGTCTAGCAGACAGAATATGATGAAATACATGACTTTATAAATGTTCGAACTGCAGCCCTTGCTGTATTTGACAGTAACCCAAACGGTGTACAAGTTCTTGTTGAACCTTGTTTATTTTGTCTTGAGAAATATTGTTTATTGTTGTCTGAATTCTCTCTTTTAATTCTTGAATATTTGCTGGTTTCGTTTGATACACAACATTCTTCAGATGACCCCACATAAAATATTCCAAAGGATAGAAATCTGGTGACCTCGCTGGCCATTCGGTAGGTCCACGTCTACCAATCCACCTCTTCGGAAAAATTTCATCTAGGTACCTTCTAACATCTACAGCATAATGTGGAGGTGCACCATCCTGTTGAAACCATAAACTTTCATCACAACCTCCAGGATTACGTCTGCTGGGAAACAAATTACGTAAAGTAGGTACGAGATACCCCCTTAAAAACTCAAGGTACGTTGCCCCGTTTAAATTACCTTCGATAAAGTAGGGTCCGATGATTCGATTTCTTACAATTCCAGCCCATATATTTACCTTTTGCGGGTATTGTGTATGATGCTCACGCATCCAGTGGGGGTATTCTTTTGCCCAGTATCTACAATTCTGACGGTTAACCTCGCCATTTAACGTGAAAGTGGCCTCATCAGAAAAAATAATGTTTTGTATCAAGAGAGGGTCTCGGTGACATTTATCCATCATTTTTTCGCAAAATTGGATTCTTCTATCGGGATCATCTACGTTTAATTCCTGACCAAGTTTAATTTTATAAGGATGCCATTTTACAAGCTTATTAGTTTGTGTACCGTTGTTTTGCTAACACCGATATCGCGACTAACTTTACGCACAGAAGTGTGCGCGTCTTCTTCAAAAATAAGTAAAACATCTAACTGCTGTATCAGCATTTGCAGAGGGACGACCTGATTTGCGTACATTTTCAACCGTACCAGTTTCTCGAAATTTCTTTTCAATCTTACTGACTGTTGAACGCGTAGGTCTTTCTGGATATTTATCATTAAACAAATTGCACACTTCCATTTCAGTTCGCGATCTGTCTCCATACCCAATCATCATAAGTATTTCAATTTTTTGTTTTACACAACTCCATTTCTAATTCAAATTAAATCTAAGCAATAATTAAAACATTCACGAATACCAAAAATATTGTAGTACTAAACTGTCACTGAACATCAATAAATTACTAAACAAATAATGGCATTTCACAAAAAATTAGAAGACTATGTTTTTTCAAAATTGATAAGAAATAATTTCTTTCATATTGTGTCTGCTAGACCAGACGGACACACTGTATAAACATAAATAAAAAAACTGGTGTGCCCAACACATGACTTTCCTCTCCAGTTATTACAGGCTTTTCCGGTTATTTTGTACAACCTACTGTATCACCCCTGTAAATCTTTAGATGATAAACTAAATACATACATTTTCCACAAACATCTCACTTTAAACATTTTATATATATATTAGTTGCTAAAAAATATACTGAAAAAGTTTACACTTTTCCTCAAATTTTTCCATTACGGTCCATTTTAGAGACATCAATAAAAGTATAGAGAATATTTTTTATCCATGATAACCTGGCCAAGTACTCCAAATGGTGAAGGCCACTAATGAAAAAAAAAAAAAAAAGAATAATACGACACATAAACAAACATTGTCAGATTTGCGAGAAATGAGAGAGGTGATGGAGCAGTTTTTATTGTTTTTATTCGCTCCGTGCGAAGTCATGGAAAGGGAAGCAAAAGCGATACTAGCGCTAGCTGCGGATAATTCGTGCATTTTAGGGCGATATTTTG